AGGAGGCAAAGGGGGGAAATACGGGAAGAGAAAAGTCTGTAAATTACTACCTTTGCAAAATAACATCTAACCTTTTGAGAGTCAAACATAAAGGATGTCAGGGAGGGTCCCAGAGGAAATCTCTTCATTCCGCTGGTGTCTTCTCATCCTTATTTACACTGTAGCCACCCCACACTTGGCTCTGGGAGCATCCTGCCTCTCCTCCGACCAAATATTGCCCAGAACCCTTCGCTGTGTTCTCCCTAGCACACGTGAGAGACTGGTGTTTTCACAAAGAGCAGTACTCAGTGCCAAGACAGACAAAAAGGAAATTGTTACTCAGAATACAAATATCATAAACATTATTAAGACTTCCTCAGAGAATTGTCTGGCCCAAGATGATACTCTCTGGCCAAGGAGGCTGTTCCAGCTAGAAGTGTGTCTGGCTTTCTCCCTCACTCTCACTCCACAGCCACCTGCAAGTTACCTTTTACCCCAGAGCAGGTGCCACATTATTCTCTGACACAGGGCAGCACACCAGGCAACTCCTCTTCCTCCTGGCCCAAGTTAAATAAAGCCCACATTCTCAAACCTGCCACTGTCCCTGCTATTCAGCCTGGCTTGTCATCTGAGTGACTTCCTCAGCCTAAGGACAGCACCACCATGATGGACAAATGGATGATTTCACCCTGTGCATCTTAGGTTATCAACTCTGCCAGTGGAACTCTCACCTCCTGTGGTAATTTGTATATATTACTCATAAGTAGGTATAACTCCCTGCCAAACACACACACACACACACACACACACACACACACACACACACACACACTCCTCTACAATATCAAAGGATCTCAAGAATGTGATAGCTACATTTTTCTTACATAACTATACAGTTATAGAGCAAGAAGGTAAATTTTCCAAAGGCACACTGTGGAATTTTAGAAGGAGAAAATATAATTTCCTAAAAAGAAAAAAAAAAAAGAGAAAGAAAGAAACAGCAACCCAACTACAAGATGAGCAAAGGGCTTAAGTAGACATTTTCCCTGAAGAAGATACACACATGGCCAACAGGCACATGAGAAGATGATCAACATTAGTCATTAGGAAAATGCAAATCAAAACTACAATGAGATGTCACTTCGCAAGCACACAATGGCTATAATTTTTTTAAACACACAAGATGCAAAGTAACAAATTGATGAGCATTAGAGAAATTGGAACCCTCATTCATTTCTGTTGGGAATATAAAATGGTGTAACTATTATGTGCCTCAAAAAGTTAGAGACAGAATTACCATATGACTCAGAAACTCCACCCCTAGGTCTATACACAAAAGAACCAAAAACAGGCTCTCAAATACTTGTATATGAATGTTCACACTAGCACTGAGCACTGTTGACAATAATCAAACACTAGAAATAATCCAAATGTTTATCACTGGACAAAGAAATTGTGATATGTACATATATATAAAATAGACTATTACTCACTCATAAAAAGAAAATGAAGTACTGATACATGCTGCCATGTAGACGAGCCTTGAAAACCTTGTGCTAAGTAAAGGAATCTGGGCACAAAAGGTCACATATTGCATAAGTCCATTTTTACAAAATATCCAGAAAAGGCAAAACCATAGAAACAGAAAGCAGACTGTGATTGCCAGGGACCAGGGAAAGGGGATGAGAGGTGACTATTTAATGATATGGAGTTTTCTTAAGGGATGATGAAAATGTTTTAGAACTAGAGGTTGTGAATGCACAATATTGTGAATATATTAAATGTCACTGGATTATACACTTTAAAATGGTTAATTTTATGCTCTGTGAATGTCACCTCACTCTTTTTAAAAAGGGGGAAAATTACAGAACTAGGAGTAAGAGGACCAGATACTGAGTCCTGAATTTAGTGCTTTTTAGCCACTTCACTATAGGCAAGCAATTTAAATTCCAAGTCTCAGTTTCCTCATCTGCAAAGCAAGACTAATAATAATAGTACCACCCGCTTCATATGATTATTGTAGGAACAAAATGAGACATTGTTTGACATATTTATGTCATGTAAAAGTGATATACGGTGCTAGATATTATCATTCTTGAGCTGATAGTCATTAAAATGTATACTCAGTAAGAAAACTAAAAGCTTCCTTTCATACTTTTACGAGATCCAAGTTGTGATAAGTGTACTCACAACTGTCTACTTTGTTCATTTTTTCATGAGACACAATCTCACTCTGTCACCCAGGCTGGAGTGCAGTGGCCCAATCATGGCTTACTGCAGCCTTGTGATCTTTCAGTGAAAATACATCACAGCAAGACCCTGTTTCTAAGAAAGAAAAAAAGAAAGAAATAGCCAGGTGTCATGGTGTATGTCTGTAGTCCCACCTACTTGGGAGGCTGAGGCAGGAAGATCACTTGAGCCCGAGTTAACATGTTAGTCCCCAAAATTCTGTAAACCCATCACAATTTGGAGTTGGGAGCCAGGGTGAAGACAGGTGGTTGGAAATAACCAAGGAGGGTGAGGGTTGAAACATTACCTATTCGGCACAGTGTTCACTGTTTGGCTAGTGGGCACCCTAGAAGCCCAACCACCACCAGTATGTAATACAGCCATGTAACAAACATGCACATGTACCCCTGAATCTAAAATAAAATAAAATAATTAAAAAACGACCTATTGGAGTTGTAAGTAACCAAGACACCTTACAAACTTTGTATCTGGGTTTTTATATACCAAGTTACATATAGGAATAGTTCACTTTCCTATTTTTAATTAATCTAAGATGTCTATGTACTAAAAAGACTGCTTTCAAGCATGGGATATGTTGAAACATTTCCCAAAAGAACTTAACATTTCAGTTAATATTATTGTAAGTAAATATAATAATTCTATTAGTCTTTTTGGACTATTTAAAATTATTTTCAGCCCCTTATTACTATGCCCAATAAATTATATGCGTCAGTAGCTTGGGTAGTAAACAGAAAAGATCTAACATTATGGAATACTTATGATGTGCTAGATTCTATCCTAGACACTATATATATGGTTCTGGCACATATACAAATATAAAAATATTATTTAATTATCACCAAAATCTTGTGAAGAAGGTGTTAGTATCACCTCCTTTTGAGATGAAGACACTAAGGCTCACAGAGTTTAAGTAAATTGTCTGAGGTCCCATTTCTAATTGGTCAAATTGCAGCTTAAACCCAGTGCCTTCTGACTCCAAGGACCAGGTTTAAACTCCCAAGTTAATGACTTAACTAAGAAACTTAGCATCTCAACATCAAGCAGACTTCCTGGATGTTGAGAATAGAAAACCAGAACCAAGCCTGGATTGTAGGGTGGGTGAATGCTCCTCTAAAAAGCATTTTCCAAGCACTGGCTATCGGCCTTGCCTATGGGGTGTGAATGAGACAGACTTGGCCTCTGCCTTCACAGAGCTTACAACTAACAGGTTGGTTAAGACATTGAGCCAGTGATCAAGTGGCTCTAGAGACCTATGGAAGTGGGTGAGAACATGCCACAGGAGAAGAATCTTCTAGCTCCCAACTAGATTCTCAAGATTATGGGGAGGAAGGTGAAAATAAATCTTGTAACAATGGCCAACAATACATTTAACAAGAGGCCTTTGATTCAGCAAGCATGACCGGGCACCAGCAAAGTGCAAGGTACCAAGCTGAGACCTGCTCTTCATAAGATATTCCAGTATTTCATGCATCTCCGATTTCATATGTACAGGCGTCTCCTAGAGAAAACTATATTTTCACTGAAATATCACTGGTACTTGTCAAAGATTTCATTGATTATCCCAGAAGTAGTATGGAGATAAGAGTGTCTTCCATGTGGGGAGCTGGGTTAGACTTGAGGACACAAGGGTGGGGTGCTCCAGACCAGATTACACGCAGGCAGTGACCACAGAATTGGAGCATTCAGGTTGTGTCTCCCTCCAATGCATCTAACTGTGGAAACTCAATCAGGTCCAGAAATGAATCAATTTCCTTTGCCTGTGTCCTTAAATTTGATGAATAGAGCCTTTGCTTAGAGCTACTGAAGCTGCTATTCATCTCAGTTAGTTGCTAAATAAAACGTTGTTCTTGGATGTAATTCTGGCGAATATGACTTTGGAGATTTTTTCATGTAACTGTGTAAGTCCAAATTATTCCCCAAGTGATCCTACATTCGAGCTATTTTTGTTCCACGTGCTCCATATTTTTTTCCACGTTAGAGACTAGGAATCTAGAAAACCAGGTTTTCGTGTTGAATGGTGAGGAGGTAAATCTAAGCACAAATGTAAATTTTTGCGAAATAAACAGCTAAAGTTCTCCTCATTAAAAATTACCTTTCTAGTCGGTGCAATTTGATAATATGGAAATCGTTTTGGTCTTTTAGACACATAAATTTAAAGTAATGAAGACAGGCAAAGTTTAAAAAAATAAACAAGCCTGTGTCTGATCAGAGAATCAATGATTTTAACTTGAAATAACTGAACTTTCTTCATACAACAGTCAAGAACCCTGTTATCCTCTATGGTTAAGGATTTGCCCAGTGTAATGTAACTCGTTAGTGGTAGAAAATAACTGGACCATGAGTCCCTTTTCCCCCTTCTTTACATTTTTAAATAAAATTTTGTTTTCAATATATGTGGGGCATGTTCACAGTTTAGAAAGCAAATAACAGCTAAAAGGTTTCTCATAGAAACACCAATCCCTGACTCACCTTCCACTTCATTCCTTGTCTCTGTCTTCAGGGAGTACCACTTTTGAGGTATTATTTACACATGTTAATTTTTACACATGTTAATTTTTCTAAGTCATATGTTGTTATCCATAACTTTTGCTACGAAATTTTTTTAACGTATATATGTGGACAATTATATACACACACGCATTTGGTAAATTCTTTAAAAGCAAGCTGCAAACATCATGATACTTTACTCCTAAACACTATATAGTAATACTAAACATAAAATTGTACTGTCCTTGGGTCCTCTGTTTTAGATTATATCACTTGACTTTCTATTTTTGTTTGTTTCTTTGAACTGGGATTTTGGTCCAAAGTTTTGTTTGTTTCTAGTATCTGCTTCTGCCTCCCCCTCTATCAGATCGGCTTCCTCTACGGCCACCACCTCTTGGTGCTCCGCGGCTTGAACTGCTGTAGGAATCACGTGGAGGAGGGTACCCCCTTTCCATAGAAGGGGGAAGCCCTCTGTCTTGTCTGCCAACCCGATCATGACCACTTGAGTAGAGATCACTTCGGCTGCTTGAGTAACTGTCTCGACTTCCACCATATCCGTCACGTGAGCTGCTGTAATCATCATAGCGACTGCTTCCACCATAAGACGGCGGGGGCCCTCGTGTAGGTGGAGCACTACGTGAGTTACCGTAACTCTCATATGAGTCTCTGTAGGAACCTCCACTTGGATGATCTGAATAGTCACGATCACGACCATATCCATCTCTATCGCTATAGCCTCTTGATGGATAGTCATCACGTGAACTGGAATGACCATAGTCACGGTAAGTATAACCTCGTGGTGGTGGTGCATAATCTCTTGTATCACGAGAACTTGGGTAATCTCTGCTGGAATAGCTGTCTTTAGTAGAATACCCATCATCTCTTGGGGACAAATACACATCTCTACGAGAAGGCAGCGGTTCTCTTCGAGGTGGACCTCCGTAACTATCTCTTCCACGTGATACAGGATCTCTTCCTCCCATTCCACTGCTGCTGCGAACTGGTCCTGAAGGTGCAGATCTCTTAGGAGGAGGACCCCCACTTCTTGGTGCTGGTCCTCTTTTTTACTGGGAGTGGTCCCCTGGAAGAACTCATGTTAAAATTCATGGAATAGCCACCGTCATCCACGTGTCCTCCCCGTGAGGGAGGTCCCCTGGTCCCTCCACTTCCCCCTCTTCCGCCTCGAAGACCTCTTGGAGGGCCTCTACTTCTTGGAGGTGGAGGCGGCCCACGTCTACCACTTTCAAATGATGGTTGGGTGGCTTGTTCCACTTTGATGGCTTTTCCGTCTAATGACTTTCCATTCATGTCTCTGGCTGCATCCTTAGCGTCTGCTGGGCTTTCAAAGGTGACAAAAGCAAATCCTCTTGATTTGTTGGTTTCACGGTCTTTCATCAAGAGTACTTCCACTATTCGTCCATATTTGCCAAATACTGCTTCAAGAGCTTTCTCATTTGTTTCCGTATTAAGCCCACCAATGAAGAGCTTTCCTGGGCGATCTGCTTCAACCATTTTGTTTTTGTTTTTTTTTTGTTTTTGTTTTTTTGCCGGTAAGTCGGAGGAGTGACAATGGGTTCAAGCTCCAACGAGCTCGCCGAGAGAGGCTTCCTAGCAGCTTAGCACCAAAAGCGGCTGCCGGGTCCGAGTACCGAAACGCGAAGCCGCTAGCACTACTGCGCAACGAGGACGAACAAAGGAGACAGCAAACTTTATACTGCCCGGGAACGAGGCTGAAGGACCCACTTGACTTCCTATTATGGGAGTTGAGGATTTCATTTTCTTTTTCTTTTTGAGATAGTTTTGTTCTGTCACCCAGGCTGGAGTGCAGTGATGTGATCTTGGCTCACTGCAACCTCTGCCTCCTGGGTTTAAGAGGTTCTCCTGCCTCAGCCTTCCTAGTAGCTGGGATTACAAGTGTGTGCCACCATGCCTGGATAATTTTTTATTTTTTTAGAGACAGGGTTTCACCATGTTGGCCAGGCTGGTCTCAAACTCCTGATCTCAGGTGATACTCCCACCTCCGCCTCCCAAAGTGCTGGGATTACAGATGTAAGCCACCATGCCTGGCCTGAGGATTCCCAATTTTTCCCACCACCATCCATCTGTTTCATCTCCTTCATCCTCTCAGTACATGGTACAATTTTAGATTAAATATATTCAACATTGTACACCCTGTTTTTCCTGAAGCTAATAATTGCCTTGATTTTTCATTTGCTTACTTTCTTTGCTTAGGTTTTTGTTAATTGTTCTTATACCTTCCAAAAACCTTTTAAAACATTTCAATCACAGACCAATCTCATCCAGCGAATCTGTCAGACATATATCTATATGTACAGATGTATATAATTTTTTTTTAAAGATGCCCTTCTAGAGGACTCTGCTCTCCTTCTGTCCTCCTATCTAAGCTTATTACTACCAGGACTACTGGTGGCTGCCATCTTAACATCTCCATTGGCTATCATCCCTGAACTGCCTTTGGCCATCTCTGGGTTTAGATTCCCCATTCAACTGAAAAAAAGGGCACTGAAACAGGGAGCCAGGTGATCTGGCTCCACTGGTCCCACCCCATCAAAGACGAGCAGTCTGAAATGCTCTGGGTTGAGAGTTTCACAGAAAGCACAGCTGGACCAAGGATGGTCCAGCTCTGTGGGAGGAAGGGTGTCCACCATTACCAAGGCAGTCCATCACTACCGAGGCAGTCCACCATTACTGAGGCAGACCACCATATCAAGGCAGTTCTAACTATAACCCTATAAACAAAACTGCAAGGAAGTTCACACAGCAGCTGGGCAGAGCCCATGGCAGCTCAGCAATGCCTCTGCTGGCAGTCGGTGACTAGGCTACCTCCTTGCTGGGCAGGGCACCTCTGAAAAAAGGCAACAGAATGACAGGAACTTATAAATAATGCCCCACCTTCCCGGGACAGAGCACCTGGGGAAAAAAGGCAGTTATGAGTTCTGCTGCAGCAGACTTAAATGTACCTGCCCAACAGCTCTGAACAGAACAATGGAGATCACAGCTCAGCACTTGAGCTCCTATAAGGGACAGACTGTTCCCTCAAGCAGCTCCCTGACCCCCATATAACCAAAGAGATACCTCATAAAGGAGAGCTCAGGCTGCCATCTGGCAGGTATCCTGCTGGAACAAAGATAACAGAAGAAACTGACAGCAACCCTTACTGTTCTGCAGCTGACGCAGGTGATCCCCAGACAAGCAGGGTCTGGCGTGAACCTCCAGCAGTCCTACAGCAGGGGGGCCTGACTGTTAGAAGGAAAACTAAGAAATAGAAATAAATAACTTCATCAGCAACAAAAAGGACATCCACTCAGAGACTCCATCTGAAAGTCAGCAATCACAAACACCACAGGTAGGTAAATCCATAAAGCTGGGAAGAAACCAGCACAAAAAGAATGAAAATACCCAAAACCAGAATGCCTCTCCTCCTCCAAGGGATCACAATTCCTCACCAGCAGGGGAACAAGTCTGGATGGAGAATTAGTGTGATGAATTGACAGAAACAGGCTTCAGAAGGTGGGTAATAACAAACATCTCTGAGCTAAAAGATCACATTCTAACACAATGCAGAGAAACTTAGAACTTTGAAAAAAGGTTTGACGAAATGCTAACAAGAATAAACAGCTTAGAGAGGAATATAAATGAATTGATGGAGCAGAAAAACACAACACGAGAACTTTGTGAAGCATACACAAGTTTCAACAGCTGAATTGACTAAGCAGAAGAAAGGATATCAGAGATTGAAGATCAACTCAATGAAATAAAACGAGAAGGCAAGCTTGAGAAAAAAAAAGTAAGAAGAAATGAACAAAGCCTCCAAGAAATATGGGATTATGTGAAAAGACCTAATGCACAGTTGATAGGTGTACCTGAATGTGATGGAGAGAATGAATCCAAGCTGGAAAATACTCTTCAGGATATTATCCAAAACTTCCCCAACCTAGCAAGGCAGGCCAACATTCAAGTCCAGGAAATACAGAGACCACCACAAAGATATTCCTCAAGAAGAGCAACCCCAAGGCACATAATCATCAGATTCACCAGGGTTCAAATGAAGGAAAAAATGCTAAGGGCAGTCAGACAGAAACGTCAGGTTACCCACAAAGGGAAACCCATCAGATTCACAGCGGATCTCTCAGCAGAAACCCTACAAGCCAGAAGAGAGTGGGGACCAATATTCAACATCCTTAAAGAAAAGAACTCTCAACCTAGAATTCCATATCATGCCAAACTAAGCTTCATAAGTGAAGGAGAAATAAAATCCTTTATGAACAAGCAATTGCTCAGAGATTTCATCACCACCAGGCCTGCTTTACAAGAGCTCCTGAAAGAAGCACGAAACATAGAAAGGAATAACCAATACCAGCCACTGCAAAAATGTACCAAATGATAAAGAGCATCGATACAATGAAGAAACTGCATCAACTAATAGGTGAAACAACCAGCTAGCATCAAAATGGCAGGATCAAATTCACACATAACAATATTAACCCTAAATGTAAATGGGCTAAATGCCCCAATAAAAAGACACGGACTGGCAAACTGGATAAAAAATCAAAACCCATCGGTGTGCTGTATCCAGGAAACCCATCTCACATACAAGGATACATATAGACTCAAAATAAAGGGATGGAGGAAGATCTACCAAACAAATGGAAAGCAAAAAAAAAAAAAAAAAAAAAAAAAAAAAAAAGCAGGAGTTACAATCCTAGTCTCTGATAAAATAGACTTTAAACCAACAAAGATGAAAAGAGACAAAGAAGGGCATTCCATAACAGTAAAAGATCAATGCAACAAGAAGAGCTAACGATCCTAAATATATATGTACCCAATACAGGAGCACCCAGATACATCAAGCAAGTTCTTAATGACCTCCAAAGAGACTTAGACACCCACATAGTAATAGTGGGAGACTTTAACACTCCACTATCAATATTAGACAGATCAACGAGACAGAAAATTAACAAGGATATCCAGGAACTCAGACCCAGACCAAGAAAACCTAATAGACATTTACAAAACTCTCCATCTCAAATCCATAGAATATACCTTCTTCTCAGTCCCACATCACACCTACTTAAAATTGACCACATAATTGGAAGTAAATCTCTCCTCAGCAAATGCAAAAGAACAGAAATCATAACACTCTCTCAAACCACAGAGCAATCAAATTACAAGTCAGAATTCAGAAACTAAAACAGAACCGCACAATTTCATGGAAACTGAACAACTGGCTCTTGAATGTTGACTGAATAAACAATGAAATGAAGGCAGAAATAAAGATGTTCTTTGGAACCAACAAGAATGAAGACACAACGTACCAGAATCTCTGGGACACATTTAAAGCAGTGTCTAGAGGAAAATTTATAGTAATAAATGCCCACATAAGAAGCAAAGAAAGATCTAAAATTGACACCCTATTGTCAAAATGGAAAGAGCTAGAGGAGCAAGATAAAAAAATCTCAAAGGCCAGCAGAAGACAAGAAATAACTAAGATCAGAGCAGAACTGAAGAAGATAGAGACATAAAAAAACCCTTCAAAAAAATCAATACATCCAGGAATTGATTTTTTTTGAAAAGATCAACAAAATAGACAGACCACTAGCCAGATTAATAAAAAAGAAAAGAGAGAAGAATCAAATACATGCAATAAAAAACGATAAAGGGGATATCACCACCGATTCCACAGAAATACAAACCACTATCAGAGAATACTACAAACAACTCTATGCACATAAACCAGTAAACCTGGAAGAAATTGATAAATTCCCGGACACTTACACCCTCCCAAACCTGAACTAGGAAGAAGTTAAAACCTTGAACAGACCAATAAAAAGGGCTGAAGTTGAGGCAGTAATTAAGAGCCTACCAACCATAAAACACCCAGGTCCAGATGGGTTCACAGCCGAATTCTACCAGACATACAAAGAGGAGCTGGTATCACTCCTTCTGAAACTATTCCAAACAATCCAAAAAGAGGGAATCCTTCCTAAATCATTTTGTGAGACCAACATCATCCTGATACCAAAACCCGGCAGAGATTCAACAAGAAAGGAAAACTTTAGGTGAATATCCATGATGAACATAGATGCCAAAATCTTCAATAAAATATTGGCAAACTGATTGCGACAGCACATCAAAAAGCGTATCCATCACCATCAAGTAGGTTTCATCCCAGGGATGAAAGTCTATAAACGTAATTCACCACATATACAGAATCAAAGACGAAAACCACATGATTATCTCAATTGATGCAGAGAAGGCCTTTGACAAAATTCAACAGGCCTTTATGCTAAAAACTCTCAATAAACTAGGTATTGATGGAACGTGTCTCAAAATAATAGAAGCTATTTATGACAAACCAGCCAATATCATACTGAATGGGCAAAAACTGGAAGCATTCCCTTTGAAATGTGGCACTAGACAAGGATGCCCTCTCTCATCACTCCTATTCAATATAATACTGGAAGTTCTAGCTAGAGCAATCAGGCAAGAAAAAGAAATAAAGAATATTTAATTAGGAAAGGAGGAAGTCAAATTGTCTCTATTTGCAGATGACATGATTGTATATTTAGAAGACCCTATCATCTCAGCCCAAGATCTCCATAAACTGACATGCAACTGCAGCAAAGTCTCAGGATACAAAATCAATGTGCAAAAATCACAAGCATTCCTATACACCAATAACAGACTTAAACAGAGCCAAATCAAGAACGAACT